AATAATAATACATTTGTTAATAATAATGATAATATAAAAGACAATAATAATTACAATAACAATAATAGTAATGTAGTAATTAATAATATTGAATATAATAATTATTATCAATATACTGTTGACGACGTATTAAAAACAATACAAGTCATTCGTGATGCTGATAAAAAACGTAAACATCATATAATACATCCTGAACCAATTGATGGTCAATATGATTTAATTAAAAATTTATTTTTACCATCAAATGATTTGGAACAACCACATTATAGTTATAAGTATGGGTATGTAACACATAAAAATCAACGTGGTCTTTACAAATTAGATTTACAAAATTTGCGTTATATAAAGTCTGTTGATTTGACTTTATATAATTGTGTACCAGAAAATGTTGAATTTTCCTCGTTGTGTAAGTTTTATTTTAATTAATTAATTTTACTTTTGCGTATAAATTGCTGCATATGTATTAATATATTTCATTTTAGATGGTTTTGTTATAATGTCCTGTCGGGAACCTGTTACAAATCGGCCACAAGGGCAAATTGTTTTAGATTATTTGACAGATGCAATACTAACAACGAAGCCGTCTTTAATTGGTATACCAAAAATATCACCAGATTCAAGACATTTAGTAACTTTGCAACATTATCCAGATGGTGTTGTAATAATTGTACAAAAAATCAAAGGTATTCGTATCACGTTAATTCTAATTTAGTGTTATATAAAAATTTAAACAATATATTTATTTATAACATTTAAGCATCCGGCCTGGAGTTTTTATTTGATGTTACAACAACATTAAATATAAGTGATTTAACATTTTATGAAAGTCAGTCGATGCATGGTTACGATTTGTTTGCAAGTGCTGCTGGTAAAGAGGATATTTTATATTTAAATTTACTAACAGGTATTTATTTAAAACAAAAAAAAACATTTGCCATTAAATGTAACCATATTCAATAATTATCCTTTTATAAATTGACTATAAAAATATCTGTTATTTTTAGGAAAAGTTGAAATGATAACTGGTGTTGGTTCCTCAATTTCAAGTGATTTAGTTGAATGGGGTAATTCAGTGAGAGTAATAAGATCATCAGGTAAAATTAAAAAAGAATTATTTCTTTTTTGAATTTTCAAATTTTAAAAAATATAAAAAAGAATTTTTTCACATTCATTTCTGGAAGAAATAATTTATATTTGATAAATTCCAAATTAAATTTGGTATAAAAAATTTCGAATATCAAATTTTCACTTACTCTACCTTATCATTTTTATTGATTCATTTCTCACAATTAGTCACTTAATCTTCATGCTCAAATTTTACTAACAATAATTTATAAAACTTTAACATTTTTTGCTTTTAAGGTTTATTTGGTCAATATATGATAACACCATCAGAAAATGCGATTTTTATAATAAATGGTAGATCAAGAACAATAAATTGCGAAATCGGTGGTATATCACATACAGTAAATACAATATGGTCACATAATATACCAACGTCATTATCAGCATTATCATCTTCATCGACTATATTTGAAAATACATTTTACCAACAACAACAACAGCAGCAACAACAAGAAGAAGAACAAAAACAAGAAAAAGAACAAGAAAAAGAACAAGAACAAACACAAGAACAAGAACAGGAACAAGAACAAGAACAAAAACAAGAACAAGAACAAAAACAAGAACAAGAACAAGAACAAGAACAAAAACAAGAACAAGAACAAGAACAAGAACAAGAACAAGAACAAGAACAAGAACAAGAACAAGAACAAGAACAAGAACAAAAACAAGAACAAGAACAAGAACAAGAACAAGAACAAGAACAAGAACAAGAACAAGAACAAGAACAAGAACAAGAACAAGAACAAGAACAAGAACAAGAACAAGAACAAGAACAAGAACAAGAACAAGAACAAGAACAAGAACAAGAACAAGAACAAGAACAAGAACAAGAACAAGAACAAGAACAAGAACAAGAACAAGAACAAGAACAAGAACAAGAACAAGAACAAGAACAAGAACAAGAACAAGAACAAGAACAAGAACAAGAACAAGAACAAGAACAAGAACAAGAACAAGAACAAGAACAAGAACAAGAACAAGAACAAGAACAAGAACAAGAACAAGAACAACAACAAAAACAACAACAACAAAAACAACAACAACAAAAACAACAACAACCACAACACCACCAACACCAATACCTACAACAACAACAAAAACAACAGCAGTCCACAGAATCAATATTAAATCAACAAAGTATATCATCATCATTATCATCATCATCGTCTCTGTCACCATTATTTCCATCAAATGAAATTGTTAATCCAGTTCCAGTTTTAAATATACATGGTGATGATCAAGCGACGATTTTGTTGTAATTTAAAAAATAAAATGAAAGTTAAAATAAATTAAAAAAAAGCAAAGAACCATTTAGTAAAAATACTTAATTGTAAAATCAAAATAAAGATTCAATTGAAAAACAAAAAAGATTGATGGGTAATATATTATATAATAGCAAACTACATACATATGTGTATTATAATTTAAAAAAAACAAACAAACTTTATTTGAATTAAGAAATAAATAATTGAATTCAATTTAGAAATTATCTATGTATATTAATATGTAAAAATTAAATATATACATATATATATATATATATTATATATATATATATATATATATATATATATATATATTAGTACATACAATATTTAGATAATGTAGGTTATTATCTAATTTCAATCACGATTAGACTTTTTTTAGGAAATTGATAACAATTATAAAAAAAAGATTATAATTTTTTTAATCAATGTTAATTGAAGTATTAAATTTATATTCAAATCGTCCATTCTATACAATAAACATTCTCCTTTCGTGTATGTAATATAAAAATTATTTTTAAGGATAAATTTCTTAACCAATTTTAAACGATTCATATATTTCTCAAAATAATTTTTGCCTCTAAAAAATAATATTAATGAAAAAACATTAATTTGTAGATAAAATGTAGTATCACATGAAAAATTATGTTTTTGTAATTCTTATATGTAAAAATATTAATATATATTAATATATTATATGTAAATATATATAATTAGATATTAATATATAAATATGTATGATTTAATATTAATATATAAATATATATAATCAAATATTAATATATAAATATATATAATTAAATATTAATATATAAATATATCTAATTAAATATCAATATTTTAGGTTTATATAATATTCAAGAGTAGTGTTAGCAAATATTTATGACGAAAAGAAAAATTTTAGTTATAAAAAGTCATATTACCTACATATTGTAGAGAAACCATATAACAACAAAAAGTGCGATGTAAAATTTTAACCGTCATCATATACATATAACACTATATTAATTAAATATCGTTATTGATATGCATTTTTTTAAGAATTCCTGATTTAAAAAAAAAAGAAAAACTGAAGAAAACAGTCTTCAAGAACTTCATATCACAACTTCAATAACATTTTTGATAAAATTTTAAATATATACCTACATATGTATATATATAATTGGGAAAGTTTTAGAAAATATAATTTTAATATTGTTATAACTGTAAATTTAATAAAGAAATTATTAAATACAAAGTATTGACACATAATATACATATGTATTTATATAAATTGTATTATGCAAGCATTAAATATCAAACTTTAAACATGTAAAAGAAATATTTTTTGTATATTGGAAAAAAAATTTTTAATTTCTATATACATATATATGCGTATATTTATGTATATGGAATAAATATATGTATATGATATACGTACATATATAAAAAGCTATGATTAGCAGCATAGAATTTATTCAGGCGAATGCAATTGCGTTTGTAAATAATTTTATCATATTAAATGTAAAAAAAAATTGAAAACTAGAAACGTAAAAAAAAATTAATAAACTAAAACTATTAAATATGTTCCAAAAACGAAATTTGTGTTACTTATTAAAATACTATAAAATCATTTTGGCACATTTGTTTTTTTTACTCTTAACTCTTAAAAATTTTGCTCATGTATTTGCTTATGAAGAGTGACAGAAATATAGTAGTCAAAAATAATTTGCCCTTCTAATAAAACTCAATATTACTACAACACTTCCGGCTTAATTGTGTATCTCGCTTTTTTACTCACTTTTAATCAATTTCTTAACTTTTAAAACTATGAAACGGCAAGATTATTTTTAACAGCAACAATTAAATTCTTATAAATATTTACTTACATCAAAGACAGGCATATATGTAGCTCTACCACGAAATCCAATCGTAGAATCCTATGAATTACGAACATAACTACCACGTATACTTTTGAATGATCACAATTCACAAATTCCTTTCGTAGAGATTATGAATCATCAACGACGGTATTATTTTTCGGCGTGTCAAAATCAGAATTTCAACTATTACGATTTTCTTCTTAATTTGCTTCTTTTGTAGTAATGATTTACCCTTACAAGTCTACGAAAGAAATAATCATTCGTAACAAGCAATTTGAAGAGAATAGTCGTATTAAATTTTATAACTTTGAATTCATATTGCCAAAAAATTTTTTTCCCACTTTTCAAAAATTTTCAAAAACTAAAAAAAGCTGAAACTTTCATAGAAAAGTATATAAAAAAATGCATGAAATTATAATGTTTTTGTTTAGACAATCTGAAAAATGATACTAACATTAGTGATTCTTAATCTCTACGAAAGGAATTTGTGATTATTCAAAAGTCTATGTCGTAGTTATGTTCGTAATTCGTAGGATTCTACAGGTGGAATTAATGATAACAGCTGTTAACGAACATGCTTTATATTAGGATTTAAATTAGAACGAATTTTCGAAAATCCTCTGAGAATTCATTTTTCGAGAATCTCCTATGTATTTGTAATTAAAAACGAATTTTTACTGTGAATCAAAATTCTTACCAATTTTTACTGTTATTTTTCGATTAAAATGTTTATGAAATAAAACACATATTTCTTTTCGAATCTTTTTTCTTTTAAAAACTTATAAAAATTTATAATAGAATATTCAAACGTTTAAAAAAAATAGTGATTGATAATTAAAATTAAGTTTTTAAGATTATCACCCATATTCTGTTAGTCGCATCATTTGACAATCCATCACGTCAAGTGATGCGACTAACAGAATATAGGTGTATGTTTTTATTTGATTTTCAATATAGTTGATAAATTAATTATCAATTATTATGATGACTCTATATGATGATAATTAACAATAGAATTATGATGATAGTTGATTTACAGCAACAACGATATTTTCAATACTTGATAGCTATTTAATGTTATATTTCACTTCTCTTATATTTTTAAATAATATATAATATAGCTTCGGTAAAAAATTGACATATTTATAAAAAATATAATAAAATTCAAATTCAGAAGTTAACAATCATAAATGAACATATTATGTATCACCACCACTCAACCAGTGTTGGAATTTGTTAGTAAAATTTTCTCGATCTTTTTCATTTATGTATACATACATATATTAGATATATTACATAAATATGATGTAACGATATAAGATTTACATGATATATTCATAAACATACAATTTAATAACACGTCGTAAAATTTACATATATATATTCATAAACATATTTACTAAGCATATATATATATATAAAAATAGTAAAATGAGTGGCTTCCAAGATTATTTTCGCAATGTACTTCAGTTATAATTATTCAATTTAATTTTTTTATTAATTATTTTATTATATGACAATAAATGAATTTATTTCAAAATCTATTTACAATTTAATTAAATATTTGACTGAATTCAAATTATAATGAAATTTTTAAATGAAATATATAGAATATTAGTTATACAAATTATTAAATATATAAATTTTGAGACTTAACATGAGACTGGGATGTTGTTAATTAAATGAAGCATTGTTCAAACAATATAGAAACGCACAAGTATATCAAAAAACTAATTTGGATTCAGATGTACTTAAAATGACATGATTTTGTTATTTGTTCCCTATGAAGCGTTAAAACTAAAAGTTTTTCAATACGTTAAAATTTTATTTTAATAATGTAAATTGTAAGTAATGAACTAATTAACTATAAGAAATATAAGTTCTTTTCCAGTAATGCATTTGGAGATTGATGTAAGTATTGTCCTACCAAAAAAGCTAGCTTGTGAGCGTATTGGCAAACCGCAGGTACCCTAATTGTTGAAAAATAGTTATAATACATGTGAGTTTGTCTGTATGTCATATCCTGAATCCTGTCTGGAGCTATTCTTGTATTATCAAATAATACATTATAGCTAGTTGGGGATACAGTACCCAGACGAACCGACTGAGATATTAAATAAAAATCATAACGTTGTGGTAGTGTTATAACATCATCTACTATGGTGCCAGGCTGAGGATTTCCTTTACCACCATTGCATGAAAATATTCTTGTATTAATTCTTTTTGAAACAACAATATACGCTAGCTTAAAAACAGACTTGTTTTCATTATAAATTTTTTCAATTGAATTTTTAACATGAGTGACTTCATGTTCGTACACTTGATGTAATTGACCATCGCCAACACCATCACGATAAAAGAATATAATTGATGGCAATTTTTTATGTTCATTAAAATATTGTCGTAATGCTTTTACAGTATTTAATGAAATATCATTAGATAATTCTGTGCCTTTTTCATGCTCAGACACAGCGCTAAAATATATTCCAGGTTTAATATTGACGTCCATTGATGAAACCAATGCCCCATATGATTTTTTACGATCTCTTGTTGAATGACATACATCAAAGCCAATACACATGACATTATCTGGCATTTTTACAGTCCATGGAGCACAACGTAATTTAGCATTCATTTGTACACATACTTTTGTTGCAACAGACATCAAACCTGATGGTCGTTTAATAGTTTGAATTCTTACGACTTGGCTAGGGACAGAACGGTCGCATGTTAATTTCTTTTTAATACAACTGTATAAATCAGCCCGACTTGAAGTGACAAATGCCATTATTATTTGTGGGTCAGCTTGACAAGCCTGTTCTAAAATTTTTGCATAGGAACTTATATTTTCCGTTGCTAGCTGTAAAAATTGTGGATCTCTTATTTGAAATCCCATTTTGCGACCAGTATCTACACAGCATTTTGTGAAGTTTTTTGTTTCATTAGCACAATATTCTCCTGGTATGATAACAACCCTAAAAATAAAAATTAAATCAAAAATTATGTAATTTATAGATTATTCACGAAGAACAAAAATTTTCAAATTATTTTTTCAATTTTTCTAAAAAAGCAGCAGTTTTGCTTTTCTTGATTTGTATGGTTTTTAACTCCCTTTAAGAGTTTTTGCGTTTGTTTATTGTAAATTTTTTATTGTTAGTGCGTAATAATGTTATTTATATATATATATATATATATATATATATATATAATATTTATATATATATATATATAAATATTATATTAATTATTTATATATATATATATATATATATATATATATATATATATATAGAATAAAAATCTATCTTTATAGAATCTTTTTTATTGCAAGGTTTTGAAAAGGCATCTTCTCTTATTAACCTATTCTTTTAGGAAAATAAGTCCTTTTCTTGTAAGTTGGCAAAATTATCATAAACGGAAGTTTCTTACTGCTTACCGGATCAAATTTCAATGTTCAATATTCTAGATTCGCATATTTTTTAAAATTTTACTTTTCGGAAAGTACATGAAAGCACATAGTGATAACACTCTTATATCAAATTCATAACATATCCACATAATATGATGCTAGTATTTACATACGTACATAATTATGTATGCATAACTACATATTTATATATGTACCTTAAATTGCTTGATTTTTGTTAAATAAAAATTTAATAATTAAGTAAATAAGTAAGTAGTTCTAAGAAAGTGAAATTTCGTATTTGATATTCAATTTAATAGTTTAATTATTGGTAGAAAAGTATAAGCAAATCATACAGAAAAACAAAGTAGAAAAATTATGAAAAATATAATCATATAGAAAAAAATTATAATCTTATAGAATTATTGTTTAACCGTATGCATTTGGTGAAGAAATTAATTTTTAGAAAGTATAATACTATATTATTCTTTAATAATCTTCCGTTGAAGCTTGGAATTTTTTTAACAAAGTTTTCTTAAGATTCTTGAAAAATTTTACATAGGGAAATCCTAAAATTTTCCTTTGTATAATTCCTCTTTTCTTATGAACTAAGCGATTGAAGAAGTACAATTTTTTATTTTCTTGAAAAAGTAAATTTTTAAGATAAAGAGTAATCAACACTTATTTAAACTTTACAAATACCAATGTTGATTATTTCTATGTACAAATTTTCTTATTTTAATTATATATAGACAAATATCATATTGTTTTGATAATTTTTGATATCAAAAATTGTTTTGACAATTTCATTATTATTTTTTTTCCCTCCGTTTATTTTTATTTCATCTTTCTTTTCACTCACCCTTTAACAATAAATCGTATAAAAATTGGTTAATTGTTTTATATGTTTTTTTTAAGCTCCGTGGATGTCGCTTAAAAGAAATGGGAAACGTATACTCCGTGATTGCAATAATGCTTTACAAAAAATTAAGTACGGTATTGTATTACCGTCTCAGAGCTCTTAATACCATTACATATTAAAAAACTGTTAAAGCTTTTGATAAATTTTTGAGTACAATTTTTATTATATTAATACATACTTTGACGTTTATTTGAAAATTTCTGGTTAGAGTTCTGTGCAAATGTTAATTTTTAACAAATGTTATTACATCATTGAAAACATAGCATTTTCATGCTGCATTTTAGCATTAAAACTTAATAACTAGCACTTTACTGCTGAAATTTTTAATTAGATTTTTTTTCGCTACCCGATTTAATTTTGCCCGCTACATATAGGACACATTTAGGAAAAGTGTACAATGTCGAGAACTTTTACTAAACCTTTTGGAATGTGATACTTTGCAAAGTTTACGTTGTAAGCGCATTATTAAAGTCACGGACTGTTTCTTTTCTGACGAAAAATTGTACACTAGATTGGAAGTCTGAATAATATGTCTTTGGTAAAAGTAAATGTTTCCGTTTTAAAAACACTTGTATATAGATTTGCATATGTATATGACAAAGTTGAATAATAATAAAAATAACAATAATAATAATAATAATAATAATAATAATAATAATAATAAAAATAATAATAATAATAATAATAATAATAATAATAATAATAATAATAATAATAATAATAATAATAATAATAATAATAATAATAATAATAATAATAATAAAAATAATAATAATAATAATAATAATAATAATAATAATAATAATAATAATAATAATAATAATAATAATACTAATAATAATAATAATAATAATAATAATAATAATAATAATAATAATAATAATAATAATAATATTATTATTATTATTATATTATTATTATTACTAGATACAGGGATAGTACATGATAATTAAGAGCTTATTTACCGTCTAAGCAAAGTTGTGTATGAAAACGTGCAATTGAGTGCATACTTATTAAACAAATTAATAAAAATAATAATAATAATAATAATAATAATAATAATAATAATAATAAAAATAATAATAATAATAATAATAAAAATAATAATAATAATAATAATAATAATAATAATAATAATAATAATAATAATAATAATAATAATAATAATAATAATAATAATAATAATATAATAATAATAATAATAATAATAATAATAATAATAATAATAATAATAATAATAATAATAATAATAATAATAATAATAATAATAATAATAATAATAGTAATAATAATAATAATAACAATAATAATAATAATGTCTTTATATCGTTAGACTATAATATAATAATATAATTTCATAGAAATTATGAACGAGGGTATATACTTGTTATATATATATATATTGTAAATGCGAATGCAAATTATTGAACAACTTATTTTTTGCTGCGCTGGTTGATTTAGTAGAGATGAATTTAGCTGTAGTTAAGTTCACTAAGAACTTTCAACATAATACAACATCTTAGGCTAGATACAGGGATAGTACGTGATAATTAAGAACTTATTTACCGTCTAAGCAAAGTTGTGTATGAAAACGTGCAATTGAGTGCATACTTATTAAACAAATTAATTGCGGGGTATATCTGTTTATATTATTTGCTACCCAATACTTATAAATTTTGTTATTAAATATATTCTTAGGTAAAATATTAATTTTTAGATTAAATTATTTTGTAATTTGTAAGCCATAAAAAGAACTATAATTCATTATGCATTCGATTTAAAATCAATTGCATGTGATTAAAATATAACTCATTTTTTTAATAATCAAAATAAAGTTGGGTCAAACCAATGGTTTGTATTGTAGCACTTTTCCCTTCAACAAGTGAAAATTCTGCTTTTAAATACAGTTTATGTATACCTATCACACTATTAAAATTATTTCCATTCATATACGAAACTATTTATAGGATTGCATATATTTAGGATGAATGATTTATGCAGTCTTTGAAATAAATCAAAAATTAATATAAAGTGGGGTTAACACAATGCTCGATTTTAAGATTTAATTGTGTGAATTAAAAAAAATAATTATATTTTTTAATGTCATGGAATTTACCGTTATCTTTTTGCGTTTATAGAAATTTCAAAAAGCTTGCGGTTTCGGAAATATAAGGTGTCAAAAATTCAAATTTAATAAATTTCAAGAGGCGGCAACTTCTAACGAAATGAACTAATTGTTAATGTCTAAAAGCCCCTAATTAGAATTTCAAGTTTCTACAGGCTGGGGTCTAGAAGAAAAACGACATCAAAAATTTGGAAAAAAAGGACTTTAGATAACGATAAATTTGAACGGCCATTTTGCTTTTCTAAAGTTTAACTATAGTATACCGCGCTAGAAGAAGCAAGCCACTGCCTTTCTGCGTTTGCAAAATTTCCAAAATGCTTATGGTTTAATTGAAACAAATAGTTAAAAAAGACCATTTTTAGGGTTTTGGGGGGGTATAACTTCTAGAGGGGTGGATATAGGTAAAAATTTTGTTCTACGGAAATAAGTTTCTATTAAATAAGTTAGTTTAAGTAAAGATCTATATACGTATTAAATTTCAGATTTCTATCTCCAAGGGTGTAGAAGTTTTGTAAACAAAAAAAGTGTCCACGAACGGACGGACGGACAGAGTTAAACTAATAATGACCTTGTAGATGAATTGTGTATATTAGTGATTCATTTTGTATTGTAAAAAGTAGTTTTTAAGTTCAAGACATTTTTCTATAAATTCATATACATATATTTGGTTGCTTTTGTTTTTTTTTTTTTTTTTTTGGTAACGAAATGTAATTTTTTTTAGTTATGCACAAAAAACAAAAAATATAAGAAGTAAGAATAGGAATAAAAAACATAAAAAAAACTTTTCACTTTAGTAACGATTTCATACGATAGTTAGTAACTAATGTAATTTATGTATGGAATTACAATATATAGATATATGTGGCAATATTACGCATTGATAATAAAAATTTTGTGGCATTAAATAAACACGCAAACTCTTTAAAAGAGTCAAAGAATCGTACAAATCAAGAAGAGCAAAACTGCTGAGAGAAAAAGTTTCATTTTTAAATTTTAAAGGACGGCTAGGCGATAGAAAAAATAATTTGAAAATTTTTGTTCTGCGTGGATAATTTATGAATTACATGATTTTTGGCAAAATATAGAATATACATATATATATAGATGTGTAAATGTAATACATTTATGTATGTATATGCAAATATATATGCCTATATCATATATATTAACCAAGATATATATATATGTATATATGTGTTGTGTGAGTATATTTGCTGCTTAATATTACCATTTTGTCAATTGGAATCCTTGAAAAAGAGAATAGGATCTATAACATTGTTCCCATTCAAATGATTGCATAACTTTGTTATTTCCGAAAACTAAAGTTGGTTCAACTAATACCCTTCCAGGTATTTCAACTAAATTAGGATTTATTTTCAAATTGAATTCATCAATAATTTTTGCACTCTCTCTTGTTGTATATAAACTTTTTTGGAATGTCTGCAATCGTTGAACTCTTTGCTCAGGATTGATTCTGGTGTGAGCAGCCATCGCTGTCATTAGTTTACGATTGCTCTTCATAGCGTCCGTTATGCCCGTTGCCCTACACAATTCTGGAATTAGTTTAATCAGAGTTGGCTCCTGACCTAGGTTCCGTGTTAATGTTCTTTCCATCGGCCTTGAAATCAATAATGGCTGATTGAAATCAGTAATAGTTAAATTGTACCGTCTTTTATAATAATCAAAATAAGAAATGTTTCCTTGTGTGGTAGGGAATAACGCCCTCGGATTAGATTCAAAATCGATGTCATCAATTCGATAGGTTTTATTGTTATAGTGTGTAAGGACTACAGAACCGAGTAAATCATTTTTCGCCAGAGTAATAAAATCAGATCTTCCTCTTAAAGAATTTTCTTTAAGACGACGTAAAATTTCTAAAACTGTCTCGTGCCGCATAACTTTGTGAATAATATCACAGCATAACAATATATCTTTTTCGTGCTGGCGAAACGATGTAATATATCCTAAAAATAAACAGATTTATAAAATCTAAATAAATGAAATGTTCTTGGATAAGATAAGAGATATATACATCATGCTAAAATAAAAGTAATTTAATTACCTGGCCAGATTTCTAAATTAAATTCTCTCAAATCAATTTTATTTAAAGCGTTGAATAAATTTCTTCCAATTAACTGTAATTTTAATCCATCCATACATCGTCGTACAATTATATTGAATAACTGCAACCATGTTGCGTCATGTAAATGAATACAAGCAACATATTTAACGGAAACTCTCACTACTTCATCAGTTACTTCAGATTTTGTTGTAAATTCAAAATCGTCCATGGATAATTTTGTAAATAGTGACGAACCATCGAATATGTAACCACCGAATTTTTCTTTATTTCTAGATATAATCTGTTTACGGTATTTTGTCTCCATTTCAGGAACAAAGTCAACATGGTATTGATTTAGACCCTTATCATATGTTTCAGTTATTCTGAAATAATTTGCTTGTAAATTCACTCTTCTACCTGCTGTACCCTGCTTAGTTGGCAATGTAGTGGGGCGGGATTTTAAAGTATAATCAGCATCAATAACTCGACGACCTCTTAAATTACCACGTGTAGCCTGTAAATTTTGAATTTTTTGTAAAGAAACACCTGAGGTGCTTGCTTGTGGTTGTTGCTTTTGCGATAAGTCACCAGCGTGCGATTGCTGAGTTTTTTGCCTTTGCTGTGTTTGACGATCAGTTTGAGATTGGGAAAAAGCTTGAGTTGGTTGCAATTGTTGTTGAGGTTGACGTGGTTGTTGTTGTTGTTGCTGTTGAGGTTGACGTGGTTGCTGTTGTTGTTGCTGTTGAGGTTGACGTGGTTGTTGTTGTTGTGGCTGTAGAGGTTGACGTTGTTGTTGAGGTTGAGTCTGTTGTTGGGGTTGTATTTGCCCTTGTTTATGTGATTTTTTTTTGCCCATGTTTTTTATTTTTATCAGAAACTTTTTTTTTCACAAAAGTAAACAAATTTATTAAAAAAATGACGTCACAAAAACAAAAAATAAATTTTCTTTGAGCTGAAAAATAATAGAAAAATGAAAATTTTTCATGAAACTTTTAAAGCGTCGCATACATACATATACACATATGTTATCAATAAATTTACATAATAATATTACATTTATACATATACTTACTAACTAAAACAAATCGATTGAAAAAAATATAATGAATAGATTGTTTTAAATTATATCAATCCTATATTATGTTAGAAGTATAATTATTCAATTTTGTATACATTTACATTTTAATACATTTTGGTACATACGAGTAGTAAAAAACTTAAAAAAGTTATTTTAAGAATTTTGAATTTTGATATTCTGCTATCAGCATGACGTTTATCACATTGTTCGGCTGGCCTTTCTCAAGTAAATGAATAATAAAAAAAATTCTTGAAATAAAAAAAACGAGAAAAGGTAAAGTTGACCATGTCAACTCTACGACAATCGTGCGAATGAGTAATTTTAAGTGCTGTGTTTTGATTACCACACTGTTTCCAGACGTCCTCCTGGTTTTCATTCGTTTGTGCAAAATTTCAGCTCCGTAACTTTGACAGTTTCCATAATATATGACCAAATGACTTTCGAAGTTGTATAGCAGCTGCCACCACAAATCAAGGATTTCCAATTTGTTTTAGTAAATACAAGAGCCATAATAAAATATTTGCTTGTAGGAAATTTCAATACTGTAGGTTCTATAATTTGTGAGATCTAGTCAAATAGTTTTTGAAGTTGTAAGGCAACTATCATAAGCGCTCATGATATCTTACATGAATAGTTTTTACCGAAAATAATGTTCATTTACCATATTTTCAGTACCGTAGCTTCAAAAATTTCTAAGTTATGACTATTAAACTTTTAAAGTTGTGTGGCAGCTGTCACAAGCAGTCAAAAATTGTCACAAGCAGTCAAAAAATTTCAACGACTTTTGTCACACATAAAAGCCCCAATAATATATTTTCTTGTGCGGAATTTCGATATTATAGCTTCAGTAACTTATGAGATATAGTCAAACAACTTTTGAAGTTGTAGGCAGCTATCTAAACCACTGTCCCGATTACATCCAATTTAAACAGAGTTCCGGTATTTACTATTATAAATCATATATGAAAATTTAGTGAGCAAACATGGTTAAATCGACTCAGAATTTAACTCCGATCAAAAACATACACTTATGCCTACATCTGGAACCGTTATTTCTTAGCGCTATACTAAACTAGCCTCTGAACATACGTTCGAACGGGTAAAAAAATGGTTAAAATTTGTAGTGACCTACTCCATTTTGCATGAATACTATTTTTTTACCTTTTGATCAAAAAATATGTATGTATCTACCAATGTATGTGAGTAATAATTTTGGGTCGTGTCTTTTTTTTTTGTTTTCCAGTAAACTACTTATGTGCTGTTTTTTTTGTACCGTACTTCTTCTTTTAAAACTAGGTTTGTCCTATTGTGATTTTTTGTATTTTCATTATTGTATAGGTAAAATAAAACTTTTCAAACCTTTCCTCAAAAATTTATTGAAATATCTCAATGTTATTCAAATGAACAAAAAAGCATATTGCGGTTGGCTTCGTGAAAATCACATTAGTTTTTTTATTATTTATTTTATACCTTTAGATTTTATATGTACACCCACACTTCAACATAACATTGTGTATTCCCAGCAGTTTTGTCAGATTTGTTTCTTAAAAATTGTCACAAAAAGCAGAACTTTTACCTTTTCACTTTTTCAAGATTCCGCTTTTCCTATAGAACAAAAACTGTGTGCAATTAACAGATTCAAAGTTTTATAATAAAATAACAAGTTGACTTTTTTTTATTATTATATTCATATATTAATTATGGTTAATTAATTAATTATTTAAATTTATTTTAAAATTCGTTATATTAGTTTTTAATTTTATTAACAGAATAAATATATTAAAAATTAATATGACGAATTTTTTCAAATATAATTTTAATAGTTGCTTAATATCACATATCATTGCAAATTAATTTACATTTACGTTCTCACTCTAGATATTGAACAAAGCAGTTCATATTAAGTATATTGCATTAAATATATAATTTAAGAGCGATTTTGTTCGAGAGTCGTTTAGTAAAAAAATAAAAAAAAATTTCTACTAAAATTGAGAATTTACGAAAAAGAATTCATAGTGATATTGAAAAGACGGATGAAAATCCGACCGATAATGTGATTATGGCTAAGAATCCAAAAAAAAAAATAAAAATTAAAGCTTTACCGCCTGTAAATCAGAATATTACTAATAACAATAATAATTATTGGGGTGTATTGCAAACACGTGATTGTGATGACGATATTGAAACTGAACGCGAGGTTCCAGAAAATAATAATAAAATGAAGATTCCACCAATTACTATATTAAAACAAAAAGCAAATTTTGTGCATGACACTATGTTAGAAAATAAAATTACTGACTATTTTGTTAAAACAACTGTGATTGGAATTAAATCTCAAGAATGCTATGAAACTGTTTGTAAAATACTCCGTGATAAAAACTGTGAATTTTTTTCTTTCGATTCAAACAAAACAAGACCTTTTAAAGCTGTACTTTCTGGTCTAGAAAGAATTAGTTGTGATGAGTTAAAAAAAACATTAATAAATTATGGTTTAAATTGCTTAGAAATTAAACTTGTAGAAAAAAAAACTAAATTTGATAATAACTTAATTTTGTATATTGTTTATTTCAAAAATAATTCAATTAATTTAAATGATTTGAAAACTAAATTTTGTTATATAAACCACACAAAAATTAGGTGGGAACGAAAAACTAACACAAATGATAAAATCACTCAATATTATAATTGTCAGCTATTTGGACACGGATTCAAAAATTGTCATGTGAAAACATTCTGTCCTTTATGCGCTGGTAATCATCAAGCAACAGATTGTAAAAGCGAAATTAAATTATGCGCCAATTGCAAAGGCAATCACTATTCCACGGATAAAAATTGTCCAACTAGAAATACGTATATTGATGTCACTACCCGTAACAGAAAAAAATCGATACGCAACAGACCACGTTCCGGTGCTCTACTGAATAGTAACTACAATATAAACTTTCCAAATAGTTCGAATGTAAATAATATGAACTCGCAGATACAACAACAAAATACGCAAATACCATGGAATAATATTCTTTCAAATCAAAGCAGCAATGATATCAATAATAATGTTCTAAATTAAACACAAATAATAGTAGCAATAGCAACAACAATGTTATCAGTGGTAATTATAATAATAATAATGTAAATAATCTCTTTTCAGTAAATGAAATTATTGACCTGACAAATGTTTTACTTTCTAAAATAAGTGTATGTAATAGTAAGCATCAATAGCTTATGGTAATAACTGAATTAGTTGTTAAATATATCTATTCAAAATAATGAATATTATTACCTGGAATGCTCATTCCATATCAAATAAAACAGATGAATTTTTTATTTTATGAGTTTAAATAATATTGACATTGGTTTAGTATGTGAAACATGGCTTAACAATAACAAAAAGTTTTACAATTCTTCATATAAAATTTATCGCTCTGGTCGTATTAGTTGCAGTGGTGGTGGTGTTGCGTTAATTATTGCAAAAAATATAAAACATAAACTTATACCTAGACTTAAAACTAAATTGTTTGAAAATATTGGTGTAGAGGTATTCTTGTCAGACAATGAATCGATTAAGCTATATTCTGTGTACTCTTCTGGTAGTGTGAAATATTTGAGAAGTATTAATTTTTTAAATACGGACAGAAGACACATAAAAAACATATTTAAAGCTGATCTTTCTGTAATATCAAAAATAAATGGCAGGTACTTAGTTGGTGGGGATTTAAACTCAAAGAACCAATATTGGAATTGTTTGAGAGCAAATTGCTGGGTTAATATTTTAAATGATAAAATAAAAACAAATGGGTTTTCACTACTTTTTCCTCCTGACTATACGTATATACCCACAAACAGTGATTTTAGTCCTTCAACTCTTGATTTATTTCTTACAAATGTTCCTGAACTTTGCTCTCAACCCAAATCATTAAACGCACTTTCTTCTGATCATTTACCTGTTCAGCTAGAAATAAATCTGAATTCTGTAAATTGTGACAGTACATTTTTAGATTATAAAAATGCGAACTGGAAAACTTTTCAAAATCACATCACTACAAAATTAATTGAATTAAATGAGCCTGATTCTTTTACCTATACTTATGTTATAGATAATATGATATCGTATCTAACCAATTCTATTACTGAAGCCTGTGAATTAGCAGTACCACAAAAAAAACCTGCTAAACAATGATTACAAGTTACCTGATAGTATAATAGCATTAATTAGTGAAAGAAACAAAATTAAAAGGAAATGGGGTCGTACTAGAGAAAATATTTTTTATGCGCGATTTAAACACTTAAATAACAAAATTAAATTTAATATTAGAGAATATAGAAATAAGAAATGGTCTAATTTGCTAAAGGGTTTTGAAAAATCTTCAAAGCCATTTTGGAAAGTTACAAAAATTATAAAAAGTAAAAAGAAACACATTCCTGCTATTAAAGATAATGATCAAATTTACCTTACTAATGTTGAAAAAACGAATGCTCTGGCAACCCACTTTGCTAATAAGCATAAAATGACTGAAAATCTTGGAAATAGTGAAACAGATGGTACAGTTCAAACTGCTGTAGATAGTATTAATAATATAATTATTTCTCATTTTAAAAACGTTAAGGTGTGCGATATTACAAATATTATATCAAAATTGGAGAGTAAAAAAGCATCTGGTATTGATAAAATTACTAATCTGTATTAAGCGATTGCCAAGAGTTGCACTTATTTTGTTAACAAAAATTTTAAATGCATGTTTAAATTTAGGTTATTACCCCAGCTCTTGGAAATTATCCAAAATTATACCGATCCTAAAACCAAACAAAAATAGTGATTCATTAAATAGTTATAGACCAATAAGTCTCTTGAGTAATTTATCTAAAATATTTGAAAAAATTATCAAATCAAGATTGGAATATCACATATGTGAAAATAATATTATCCCTGACGAACAATTTGGATTTAAATCAGCTCATAATACAAACCATCCGTTGTTAAGAATAAAAAAATATATTAAAAATAACTTAAACACATTGGACTGATTTCCCTTGATATAAATTCTGCTTTTGACACCGTCTGGCACGATGGTTTACTCTATAAGATGCAAACGGCAAATTTTCCCTTATACTTAATAAAAATAATTCAGGATTTCCTACATAATAGGGAATTTCAGGTTTCAATTCATAACACAAACTCAAATAGACAAAATATTACTACCGAAGTTCCACAGGGCTCGGTATTAGGACCTATAATATATACATACACGACATTCCTAGATTAGTACATGCAAGTCTTTCAATATTTGCGGATGATACGGCTGTTTACTGTTCTGACAAGGATTCCAATAAAATTTTAGAGACTCTCCACACTGGTATTAATACTTTAATTAAATTTTTTGATAAATGGAAAATTTTAGTAAATGCTGAAAAAACAAATGCGATATTTTTAAAAGAAAAAGAAAATCTACTAATCTTTCCAGCTACAATATTAAAATAAATTCATTTCACATTCCATGGGTTGATTCTATTAAATACCTAGGAATTATATTTGATTCAAAAATTACTTTTAGTAAACATATCTCTAACACAATAGATAGAATCAATAAATTAATTCGAGTTTTATATTCCTTTATATGTAGAAAATCCGAATTATCTACTGAAAATAAAATAATTTTAATGAAAACAGTCTTCCAGGCTGTAATTCTTTATGCTGTACCAGTTTGGCACGATTCCGCCTCATGCCACATTAAAAAACTGCAAGTTTCACAAAATAAAATTTTGAAATTAATGCTTAATTTACCGTTTTACTATTCTACGGCCAAGTTGCACAAAAAAGCTAATGTCAGTACTATTTTAGAAAAATTTCGTGAACTGTTAGAAAAATTTAATAGTAAAAATGCACATTCCACAAATCCATTAATTAGAGAGTTGTAGGATAAATTATATCTAAACATAAAATGAAAATAAATAAAATATTTATTAATAAATTTATGAAATTTTGATATTGTAAAAAAAAAATAAAAACAAAAAAATAGGTAAATATCTATTATTATGCATATCATTAAAAATTTTCAAATTAAATGTTGCATAAATTTGTTTTATAGTTATAAATCTCATAGTATATAAGCTTAGTTAGTAGTTTATTTTTAAGTACAACTTTAAGAATAAGGTTTTTTGAAAGTTTTCCTTAAATTAATCCAATTTTTTCTAATATAAAATTTGTTAAGTAAAATTGAAAATATTTGCAGTTGTAAAGACAATTCATGGTCTGTATCTCTGGAGTATATTGTAAAGAACATTTGTTGTACTGTATAAATTTTAGTAAATAAATAAAATATCTATCTATCTACCTATCTATTTACATTTGCTCCTAATGATAAAAGTATACTTTCATAATAACGTATTTTATAATAAAACTAAAACTTTGCAACGTATTTTTAAAATAAATATTTTTATTCAAACAAATAGAACACCTACTCATTAATTAAATTAAATTTCAAAAAAATATAATGAAATTTCAAATTTATTTGAATAAAGACAGAAAACTTTGTTAATGACACAAATTTTTCTTAAATCGAAATAAAACGAGCAAAAAATAGAGTTGATCTTGCCAACTCCGTGATAACCGCACGAAATTGTTATTCATGTGCGAATAAATATGCCATAACTGACTATGTGACAGACTATGACTTTAAGTTGCCGTATTACCATATTAATTTATGCAAAATTTCCGTACTGTGTTTTTCAAAACCCTGTGTGCCAAACTACTATTGAAGTTGTATGGTAGGTACTAAATTTCAATACCATAGCTTTTATAGTTTCTGTGTTTCGAATAACTTTTGAAGTTGTATGGCAGGTACCAGAAAGAGCCAAGTAATTTGAATGACTTTTATCGAACACATTGGCCCTACTAATATATTCGTTTGTGTGAAATTTCAATACCACAGCTTTTATAATTTCTGAGATATAGCCAAATAACTTTTGAAGTTGTATGGCATTTACCAGAAAGAGCCAAGTAATTTGAATGACTTTTATCGAACACATTGGCCCTACTAATATATTCGTTTGTGTGAAATTTCAATACCACAGCTTTTATAGTTTCTGAGATATAGCTAAATAAATTTTGAAGTTGTATGGCAGCTACCAGAACCAGTACCTCGATCATGTCCAATTTAAATAGGGTTCTGGCACTTACTACAATAAATCATTTGTAAAAATTTGGTGAACTTAGCTCAATTTGTTTTTGAGTAATCGCTGGGATAGACGGACGGATAGACAAAGCTTAATCAACTCAGAATTCGACGCTGATCAAAAACATACACTTGAGTCTATATCTCAGACCGTTATGTCTTAGCGTTACAAACGGTTCGACAAATTTAGTATACCCTTCGATAATGAACACTGGATCGTTTATTATTATTATTACTATTATTTTATGATAAAAATATCAAGGTTTGTACACCTTTTTTTGTGAATGCTTGTGTTAGAACTGCGAATGTTTTATAGAAAAATGACATTTTTGAATTTCTTTTTATTAAAAATTATGATTTTTGCCTATTAAAATTAATTTTGAATTTTCTATGAAAAAATATTACTAAAATATTACAATTTTTATATATAAATCAAATTTGGAGTTTTCTGAGCAACATATCAAAGATTTCAAACTTTGACTCGAAATTTTAACTTTAATTTTGAATATATGCATGTATTTTCGAATTTTTTTGCACGTTTTCTGAACCGCCATGTCATGTTAGGCAACATACATATGTATCTAAGAGAATTGAAGGCAAAAACTGGTAATACATTGAATAAAAAAAAATTTGGTGAATTTAAATAAAAAATTCTAGACTAAAATATTATTTAGTCTAGAGGATGAATGACATAAAATATAGTTAATAAAAATTTTATTAGATTTTAGATTGGAATTTAAGTTTGTAGTTATGTAAAAATAAAAACACGTGCACAAATTCATACATTGTCATATGCATTTTATGCATAATGTAGACGCATATGTGTGCATACATATGATTAAATTTTTTTAACAAAATATTATGTTCATCGATAAGTTTTTCTTAGTTGATAACAAAAACTCATGTTTTCATAATAATAAAAAAAGGAAAGAGGGAGATATATACATACATGTACTCGAGAAGGAGTTGAAGAGAGAGGAAATGAATAAATAAAATTTATCAGTTTCTGTTTTTTTTTTTGTTCACAAAACGGGTATAAAAAAAAAATAAAAAATTAAAAGCATAAAACATAAAAAAAAAATTACAAAATTATGTTCCATTCCGAAAAATATTCAAAGCATACTTTTTTTTCATAATTTTTTTTTTTGTTTTATTTTTATTCTGTTGTATTAACGCATTCATATGAATTACATACATAAATTTTAAATGTCCATTTTTTTTGCTGGTAGAATTCCTATAATGCAAAAAATTACTACAATTGTTGGAAAAATAAATATTTCTACATAGATTTTTCTCAATGCTCTTCAAAATTTTGATATTTTTTTGTATTTTAATAATCTTGTATATATGATTATATATGCAACAAGCAAGAAAAACAAACACAAGGAAACTTACATTGATTTTGTATTTTTCTACAATATGAAAAAAAAAACAAAAAAAGTGCACAAATGATACTAACTTTTTAAAAAAAACCAGTTGAAATAAATAAATTTAATCAAAAACGCTAAATAAAAAGAAAGCTAAAATTTTATTTTATTTTTGTATTTTGTTATTTACTCTTCTTTAACGAATTGTTGTTTTCACTACGAAGTTAAATATAATACTGTATTTATAATTTGTCTACGTATTGTATAGCGAAACGAAACACTTCCGATCCCATGTATATGGAGAGGGTTGCCGTTCATGAAAATATTAACGGGCAAAATTTTGAAAAAAAATAAATGTCAAAATTTATAATAAGCTTAATTTTAGAAGTAAAATACTTAAATGCGGTCTAGTTTGAAATTTAATGCAAATTTCAATTTTGTTTATTTCAAATTTTAGATTAGGTTTTTTTGTTGCTAGTCTGTTTTATATTATTTTTTCCAGGTCCCTTTTAGGAGGAGTATAGGACTAGTGCATGATATTATGCCCTAGTTTCATAACGTCATAGAGTTTTAATTAGGTAGGTGACTAGCCTGCCGTATTTTTTTTCTTTATAATAAATATTTAAGTTAAGTTAACATTTACATACTGTTTATTTTTTAAGTTTTTTAATATTGAATATTATGAATATATGAAAATTACTTGTATAATATATTTATTAATATTGTATATTAAGTTATATTATTGAATATAATTTTTTTTATATTGACCAGACCGGGGTTTGAACCCGAGACCCTTCGGTTAAAGAACCGATGCCATAACCACTGCATCAATGGTCAGCTGTATATGAACATGAAGTCTGAAAAGCTTTCAGGATATGTGTAAATCTCGAAGTATATGCAAAAATGATAATATAATGTTCAATATTTTACAACTGAAAAACAATCTCATAGGAGGAATCTTAATATTAAATCTTTAATATTGAAAGCATTATACACAATTTTTTTTTTTTGTTTTAAATTAAAACTACTTCGGATAACATAATTTTACTAGCACTGGATATTTTTTAAGCAAAATGAGTTTATTTCATATAAAATACCATACGTACGATATTTAAAATAAACTTTTTTTTCTTATATAATTACAGTTTTCCTTGAAATTATGAAATATAAATAGAAATTAAAATATAGAAATTATGAGGTAAATTATGTGGTCTAATTTTTTAATGTGAATTGTTTTGTTAATATTTCCCTTTACAGAGCGAAAATTTGGTCAACAAAGAAGTACAATATAAAGACGGTGATGTGATAGTTGTGATAGACGGTGATGATATGAATAAAATGTTAGTTCGAATGATTTATAAAATATATTGTTTTAGAATTTCATTTATTTATGCCAAAGAATGCCCTAGAGATAAATTCCATAGTATGCTTTACAGTTTATAAAATTTATTAAATATATCTTAAATTCATTTTTCCTTTTTTTGATGAAATAAGTTTGTGAAGCTCAATTAATAAATGCGGAAGTATACGACAATATATGTATGTGCCAAAATATTAATCAAAATTTGTTAAAAAATATTTAGCTGTTTTGTATCTTAAATTCACTAATGCAACATTGCATTTGAATTGCAACAACGTCCCACAAGGATAAATGTTTTGCTAATATCATCGTCATCAACAAAAAGTTGATATATACTAAATATCACAAATATATACATACAAAATAAAGTACAAAATAACAAAAAAAAATATTCAGTTCAAGGGCATCTTTGTGTAATACAGAAATACATATATGTAATTTCTATTTATAAAATAAATTTATTCAAAGAGAAAATAAAATTAATGTGTTTTGCTTAAATTTGTTTTTTTTTACAGATATTTCAAATAAAAATAGATTTTAAAATATTTTTTAGCTTTTACTTTAAAAAAATATTTTAAATTTCCTTTCTTAAAAGTTATACATATTTTATGACAGAGGCCAAATAAATAAATAAAATAAATACGCTCCAACTACTGGAAACTTTGACAATGCTTGGAGCAAAGAAAGAGAAAACTGACAAAAATTTACTTCATTATTTTTTCAAGGCGGTCCTTCCTTTAATATATCCCTCGATGTTCAATGAAAACGAAAATTACAACGTAATCAGCTGGTGTCGGCGAAACAACACTCAATGGGAACCACGAAATTCAAAGATCAGTTCAATATAAGCAAAGAATATGTTAGTGATCACTGATTTCACAGTATGGCTTCCAATATTTCTTGCTACTTTTTTAAAATTAATTAAGTGAAAAAAAATCTATTTTTAATAACAATTATTCGTTACACAAAGCATAATAGCCGTATCAACAACTTATTTTTATTAATTTGCAAATAAACATAAACTCATTAATATATTTATTTATTTCATTGGGCGTCGAAGAATACTTTTTAAAACAATGGATTAGAAAACCTCGACGCTCAATGAGAATGATGACGACAACAGCTCCACATTACATGAAATTTTAATTTAGTTGTTGTAGGTGTAAATTTGAAGAGCGGAACTTAGTGGAACTGGAACATATTTGATTGTTAAGCTGTTTGTCAATTTCTAGATAAACAAAAACAGATATGACATTTTGTATAAACAAATATATCAAATGACTGTATTTAAATTAAATGAATGAGTTTGTTAATATGCAAATTTGCTAATTAATAAAAACAAGTTGTTGAAACAGGTTTTTTGTTCTGTGTAACGAATAATTGTTATTAACAATAAATTTTTTTTTTACTTTGATTGATTTTATAAAAGGAGCAAAGTAAATATTGGAGGCAGCAAAGCAATAAGTCATATTGTGAAATCACTGTACACCAACCTATTTTTTGCTTATTTTCAACCAAAATATATCTAGCTAAGAAGTAGTTCGACTCGTTCCATTCCATTATTTTTCGTTTGCTTGTCACTTCCAAAATCTTAAAATATTCCATTTTTCTTGAAAAAAAGATGGTAATAAGAGTTATGTAGGTAAGAAAAAAACAAAATATTGTAAACAAACAAATGTATCAAAAATATCGAACTGAAATAAAATAAAATTAAATTAGATAAAAATTTTATTTTTATTTTGATATCAACAAAATGTATTTTTCATATTTTATTTTTTATTTCATAAAAGATAGGTAAAAATATTTGAATGTATGAAAGTAATAATTATAAATTTAAAATTTCATACTTTGTTATACGGTACAAACCTTTTCAAGGTAGATACACAATATGATGTAGTAATATGTACATATGTAACCCGTTTGTATGACTGCTAAAAGTTTAATATAGATATAACGTTTATATAGATTAATAAACATAAGTCTATATAAACGTTACCTGATCTGAAGCCGGCTTCACTCAAGTCGCTTACTTGACTTGAAATACTAATAATGATTTAAAATTTAATAGCTACAGTGGAATCCGCTTATAGTCACTACTGTTTATAGTCATAATTCGGTTACAGTCAACAATTTCGTTGTCAACATCTTTTTTATTATATTTTCATGTATTTTCATTTGTTTATAGTCACAAACGTTTATAGTCACATACGGTTATTGGATCGTATTTTTTGTGAACCATATTGCTTAATTCATATATTTGACGTCGCTTATAGTCACATACTCCGAACGCCTTTTTTTCTTAAAGCGGTAAGTAGTTTTACTACCTACTTTACGGCAAATAGTTTAATTACAATATTTGTTGTCGAATTTGTAGTGGCAAATATTGTAACTTAAATATTTTTTTCTGTCACTTTTGTGTATGTACATACATAGGTACATTATTTCCACAACAAAAATTTGTCATTAATTTAATTTGTAATTCAAAAAGACGATTTTTATTTATGTACATAATCATATAAGTACTTAATTTAAAATTAAATTAAAAAAAAATAATAAAGTTTTGAGTTTTATTTATAAATTTTTTTTTTTCCACTGACGCTTATAGGCATATGATGCTTATAGTCACACATTTTTATGAAATTTTTTGTGTGACTATAAGCGGACTCCACTGTAAACGTCGTTTTCGGGCTTTTAAGCTAACATAGTAAAAACGCAGCTTCAGTTTCGAGCTGATTTCACGTCAAGCCGCAATGTAGACGAGGTATAGAAATTAAGCAATTTGTAAAACAAATGCGTATTACCGATACGTGTGTATGTATGTATATTTGTAAGAAATAATTGTTTTAAATTTTTAAAGACAAAATTGAAATAAAAATAAAAAATTCATAGTTTATATTACAATAAATGTAATGAAAATTACTAATTAAAAATTAAATTTTTTTTTTAATATTATTTGTCTTTTTCAAATTATATACATATAAATTATAATTTTTTTTTTATAGTCAAATTTTCTTTTTAAATCGATTTGATATCCTATTTGCCAGTAAATATACCATAGCTGACTATCGGACAGACTATGACTTTAAGTTGGCGTATTATCATATTTATTTATATAAAAATTCAGTACAGTGTTTTCTATTATATTTAAGATTCCAAACTACTATTGAAGTTGTATAGCAGCCACCACAAGGAGTCAAGAAATTTCAAGATTTATCACACACATCAGCCCTAATAATACACTTGTTTTTACTAAATTTTTATGTTATAGCTCCAATAATTTCTGAGAAAATGCCAAAGTACCTTTTGGAGTTGTATGGCAGCTATCACAAGTGCTCATGATATCTCACATTATCATATTCTGCAAAATTTCAGTACTATAAGTTGAACAGTTTTTAAGATATAGCCAAATAATTTTTCAAGTTGTATGGAAGGTACCAGAAGGACTGAAGAAATATCAATGACTTTTACCAAACACAATGGCCGTAATAATATATTCACTTGTCGAATTTTGTTTGAACATACGTTCGTACGGGTTTAAACAGGGCCAAAAAGGGTCAAATTCAATTAGTTTCAATTATGTACACAATATTTGAAATGCCTTTTAATTTTTTAAAAAATCTTTTACGTAATTAGCACAGCTGTGGATAGTAAACGATTTCTGAGTTTGATTTTTATAATATTATTGTGCGAAATAACTGTTGCTATAGAAAAAAACTAATACACTCTTAATAATCTAATTCAATTTTAGGAATATAATTTTTTTTAACTCATGCTTACATTTAAAAACCTGAAAAATTCCGGAAAGGACTATTTTTGCTATCTCAAAAGCTCGTCGAATATAGGCAGATACGCTACTAGTTATTTGCAGCCTAAATGTCAATAATATTGCCTTCGAAAATTGATAAAACACAGATAAATGATTCCCCGAAATAGCTTTTTCTGAGTTTATGTAAAGCATGCACTGAGATTTAAAAATAAAACTTTTGTAAGATAACGCTAATATTGTTTCTATTTTACTGCATATTATAAATTACATTCATAATTTTTAATAATATAAAGCTGAGTTTACTGTTTTCGAGTATGATGTGATATCTTGCAGCTCTTGAAAAAAGGGACTAAAAGCTTTGTGAAAGTGCTTCAAGTTAAATTATTTTAACATAATTTTATTTAACTCATGCTTACATTTAAAAACCTGAAAAATTCCGGAAAGGGCTATTTTTGCTATCTCAAAAGCTCGTCGAATATAGGCAGATACGCTAATAGTTATTTGCATCCTAAATGTCAATAATATTGCCTTCGAAAATTGATAAAACACAGATAAATGATTCCCCGAAATAGCTTTTTCTGAGTTTATGTAAAGCATGCACTGAGATTTAAAAATAAAACTTTTGTAAGATCACGCTAATATTGTTACTATTTTACTGCATATTATAAATTACATTCATAATTTTTAATAATATAATGCTGAGTTTACTGTTTTCGAGTATGATGTGATATCTTGCAGCTCTTGAAATAGGGACTAAAAACTTTGTGAAAGTGCTTCAAGTTAAAAAACGGGCTAAAAAGAGTACAATAAGGGTAAATATTCCAATTGTTGTTAGATACATTAGACGTTATTCCTATAATAAATTAATAATTAAGTATACATAAAGGTACATGTTATGTAGACGCATACTATGTATGTATGTATGTATTAATATTATAATTATATATATATATTAATATTATGCAAAAACTTTGAAAAAAAGAACTATTTATTATAAAAATAAATTAAAACACATTAATTTATTTATTACTATAACTATATTCTTATATATTTAAACTTTAAAATAATTTCAATATATAGTATTCAAAATATTTTATTTATTAATTCAAAATATGAAAATAAAAACAAAATATAAGGTTTTTTAATAATGACAAAAACAATTAATACAAAAAGAAAAAATAAATAAATAAAAAAATTTTGTACCTGTTTACTTTTTGTATTATTTAAAATTTCAATTTAGAATTAAAGGAAACAAAAAAAAACAGCACATAGAGCTAGAATTTTTAATTATACTTAATCTTTTACAACATTCACTTTCGAAATTGCAGTAACCCATTTTTTCACATATATATATGTGAAGCACAAACTGTATAAATGCTAACTTAAATGGACGTAGTATGCGGCATGCAGTTTGCAAAAAAAATTGATTTCATCTATTTAAATGTATACTGTCGAAATACGTTTGCGCTAATTGTACTGGGCTCGAATTTTTAATTCCAAGCGTGCGGTGGTGAAATTAAGAAGGAAATTTAATTGCGCTTGGCATTTGGTACAAATCTCTACCATATTTTCCAGCAATAATTGTATAATGTGTAAACAGTAATTGCTGCATTCAATTAGGTTTAGCACTAAGTTGTAATTACTGAATTTTGTAGCAAAATATAGATTGAACTATGCTTTTCGAGAGGAATTTTTTATTTAATTTTTAATGTCATAATTTATTTCTAGCTGGGTTATAATTTATTTCTAGCTACTATGTTTACATTTTATATAATATTGTCATAGATTTTAGTATGAATATATGGTAAATTAATAGAATTACATACATCCACACGATTCTACTATCATATTTGGTAAAAATTTTTGTGTTATCGTATTATTACTATCCCGAAATAGTAATTCCAATTGTGAAAATTGTTTAGCTGTACAACATGGTATTAGTTCTAGTGGTCGATCAAATTTATCTTTTAATGTCTGAAATGGAAATCAAGTTAATATGTATTAATCATGTTTGTATTCGAGTATATCAATGAAATAAGAATATTATAAAAATTCTCTGATTTCAAAATTCTATATCTATATATAATACAGAATTCAGTTCATTAGTTGTAATTTATAACTTCTATATGCAGAGCGTTTCGCATAAGGTGGCAAATAATTTCAGAAATGACTCTAATCAATTTCCAGCAAAAAGCTGTATCGGTTGAAAAAAGGGTTACCAGATCTTTTCTACATATAATTAAATGCTTATAATTCCGGAACAATGTGACATAGAGTGATCATCGGGGACAGGTTTCACAGGCAATTAATCAGGCAGGTTTCACAGCTCTTTATTTTTCGGTCTACAGTGAATTTGATTTGAACCATAGTGTTCGAGATAAAACTTGTAAAAGTCAGAATTTTTGGCTTTTTTTTAAATTTTTTTTAAATAACTTGAAATTTCTTGAAAATTTGTATTATTTTTTGGTTTTTTCGATGCGCTACTATGAGAGCTAAAAGTAAATCATATAATATTCTCCTCTATCTCTCATAGTTTTGCCAGTAAATTGTGTTAAATGTGTTTAAAAGACTTGCGAAAAAATGCGTATTTTATACATTTATACATATTTCGAGAAATTTCGAGTTTAAAAAAAAAATTAAAAAAAAAAAAATTTTGATTTTGACGAGTTTAACCTCGAAAACTATGGTTCAAATCAAATTGACTGTAGGACCGAAAATAAATAGCACTCAAGCGCCTGAGAAATTAGCCCCCGATAATTATTCTATGTTAAATGGTTTTGAAGCATATAAGCATTTATTTATATGCAACAAAAATCTGCTACCTTATTTACCACAGGCTGTAGCTCTTACACAAGTATTTCTGTACCCATCCCCCACCGAATTTTTTGCTGGAAATTGATCAGAGAATCCCTGAAATGATTTGCCACTTTATGCAACACATCTTGTATAATATAGCATTACACTGTTATATAGTAATTTTGAAATCACGAATTGTCTTTAATGTAAAAATTATTATATAAGCGTCATATTCTGATTTATATAAATTACCTTAATTATTAATGAATGATGATTATTACTCGATGCAATACTTGCTATTGAATTACATGATCCACGACAAAAATATGCATTATAACCAGTTGGTGATATTATCCAATCACCCCAACCAATTTCTTTGAATGATATATATAACTTTTCACGACAACATTCTTTAACATCAGCACTACAATTAACACTACGTTTTTGACGTGATCTTTGTCTTCTATATTGCGTATCAATTACAATAAATGGTTGATATTCTTTTTCTAATGCAATTATACCATCTTTTGTATCTAATTCGCATGAGTTACATGTTATATGTATTAAATGACTTAATTCATGAGTACCAACCCATTTTTTAATTGGCCATGCTATGTCAATTTTAATCCACCCTTCTGTTATTTAAAATAAATAAAATAAAATAAAAGTTATTTTGTTTTATAAACACATTAAATAATTTTTTTTAAATCAAATCTTATTAGTTAATATAGTTTAAAAGAAGGCAATTTTACAAAATATTGTTATTTAAATTTTTGAAAATTTATTTAAAAATACATCATGTGCATATATGATATTCTTATCATATGCATATATCAAAGTCTTATTTGATATTGTGAATTAATTGAAATTCATAAAGTGTTTTTGCTTTGTTAAAGATCTTTTGATTTAATAGATATGCCTTTTTTTTCAATCAGATATTTCGAAATTCACAATAATTTGTAAAACAAATTGAAAATGAGTGCATAATTTTAGGCGAGAACATGAAATGCTTTTTTTTTTTTCCTTCTTCACTCCTAGGAGGAGTATAGGGCTAGTGCATGATATCTATGATGCTCTAGTTTCTATAGTCATAGAGAGTTAGCTAGGTAGGTGACTAGTCTACCGTAGTTTTTTTTTTTTATTTATATTAAATAAATATAAGGGCCGGTGCCATAACCATTGCACCAATGGTCAGATGAACATGAAATGCTTATTATAAACATATTAATTAAGAAATTATAATTTCAATTTTAATCTAAAAAATATTTTATAAATTTGTAATTTTAAATTAAATTTTCTTTTTAGTATTTTAAATTTACTAAATAGAAAATTCCTATATGAAAGCTCATTTCATTTTTATTTTTTCGATTTCTATTGTATTTTTTAATCAATAGATTGTCGGTCTGGCGGTCCTGTCCGTGTCTGTCTGTACACGCGTGTATTCCAGGTTCGGCTAAATCGATTTTCATGAAGTTTTATATGTGAGTTTGTTTTGTTAACTAAAAGCTTACTTACGTCCTAAAAATTGGAAGGAAGTATTTAACAGGCATTTTTATAATATTCAATAAACATTGCAATAGACAATACACATTGCGCAAGGAATACACATGTAAGTAAATGTTTCAATTAATTTTAGGTATCACCGTGAAAAATTTCACCCTCCCCTGACGATCGTGCCTACAGGGCCGACTCTGACGATAAGAATCAGCTGCAAGCCGACCTTTCTGGGATACACAAAATCGTAAAACGTTGCAACAAGAAAAACAACAAAAATAAGAATTTCATATTTTATAATCATAAAAATAAAACCATAAATAAACATTTTCTGAAATATTCGGTAGGATTTTTATATTTTGTTTTTATTTTTGTTTTTTCATTGCTTTTATAATAAAATGATCATGCAAATAAAGCGTGATTCTTAAAAAAGTAAAAAAAAAAATTTTAAACATTTTTTACTGAAACAAAAGAAAAAGATGAAGGAAAAAAAGAAAAAGAATAATAACAAAAAAAAAATTGTAGGTACATTATGAAAATAACAGCCCAATTTTATATACCACTTAGTTATACTTTTCTACTTTGAATTTCGCCTGAATATATGTAATCCTTTAATTTTCAGTTTTCATTGCTAAACTAATTGCATATACTTTAAAAATTTTTATTGCAGAAATTATAAATATTGATTCTCACTTAAAAAAGTAAAAGAAAAATATAGTAGAAAACAAAACAAAAATAATTTAATCGAAACTTTATATTAATTAATAATTAATTAAAAAAAAATTACTTACCAACAATATCAACAGATTTTATAGCAATTGGTTTAACTTTTGGTAAATATCTTGAGCTCATTTGCCTTTCAAATTCTGATACAACAAGTGTTTGCTTCATTTCATCATTATTATTTTTTGGCTTAATATAAACCCATAAAACAGCTTGATTAACATCCATATTATCTGTATCAACATCATCAATTTTAAATAAAAAACAAATTGCAGGATTTTTATTTATAAACGCACATTCCTTGTATTCTATTAAAAAAAATAAGAAAAGTAGAAAAAATTTTAATTATTTGTTTTCAAAAATTTTTACACGTTTTATTTATAATACGAGTATGTAGTTCTTTTTTTTTTTGTAATTTTTTTTCTTGAATTGCCTTAAAATGCAATAACATCGTTGTATAAAATTCAATTTTAATAATATTACAATAAATAATATTTTAATAATTTAATTATACTAATCAATACGATAGGCTCTGAATCAGGGTGGTTATAAAATTTTTTATATTTGCGAAGTATCAGAAAATTTTAGTTATCGTATACATGACCGATTTAAACAATGTAAATTTTCTTTTGTGTATATTAATCTATTTTGATACTAGTTACCCCTATATAAACTTTCTTATTTGTTTGAATTTTTTTTTTAAATGCAAATATCATAATTTTTCTATTCTCAGGATTATAGGTGCATATACGAGTATCATAGACAATTTTGAATAAATTCAAAAAATGCTGCTTTCCTCGCATAGTGCAAACATATTCAGCTTATAATTAAGGAGTAACAAGCACAAACGATATAAGTCTATTTAAGTGATTTCGAGATAAATCAATTTAAAACTTTTAAATAAATTTTGAAAAAAGTTATAAAGTTATTTGATCTAATTTTTTTTAACAAAAGATAATTAAAACGAGAAAAAATAGAGTTGACCATGTCAACTCTGTGATACCCGTATGAATTTGTTATCCTATGCGCGTATAATCTAAGTTGCCGTATAACCATATTAATTTATGTAAAATTTTCGGTACTGTAGATTTAACCGTTTTAAACATATAGCACAATAACTTTTCAAGTTGTATGGGAGCTACCACAAAGAGTCAAACAATTTCAATGACTTTTACCAAACACAATGGCTCTAATAATATATTCGTTTGTGCGAAATTTAAATACTATAGCTTCCATAATTTCTGGAACATAACCAAATAAATTTTGAAGTTGTATGGCAGCTACCCGAACCAGTACCTCGATCATATCCAATTTAAATAGGGTTCTGGCATTTACTATAATAAATCATTTGTGAAAATTTGATGAACTTATTAACAATTTGTTGGGACGGACTGACGGACGGATAGACAAAGCTATGTCGACTCAAAATTCGACACTGATCAAAAACACATAATTGAGTCTATATCTCAGACCATTATTTCTTAGCATTACAAACGGTAGGTCAAATTTAGTATACCCTTCGAATATATGTTCGTACTAGTATAAAAACAGGCGATTAGTGCATAATCTGATAGCAGCTTTATGATTATGAACAATTAGAGTTAGGCAATTCTACCGAATTTATAAAAACTAACTTTTAAAGCTTATCTCGACTGTGAAAAATTACTTTTGCATTTTCATCATATTGACTTCGGTTTCCACAGTAAGCTCTATTAATGCTTGTTTATTTCCTATAGTACCTGTTTCACTGATTTCTTTGTTTTAAAACACTTTGAATTCGTTATGTTAGTTTCAAATTTATTGCATTACTTTTAACGTCAGCTACAATTATTCCAGCTCTTCTATTAAGTTCCGAAATTTTTAACGTATATTTATTGATTGTGGATAAATTTTACGCTGTATAATTTTTACGTTATTTAAAATGTCCAACATTAACATGTTTAAAAACAATAATAAATAAATCTCGAAAAAAATTTGATCTCACGGAAATGAGTAATAAAAAGCGTAACAAAATATTGTTATTACTGAATGTATCAATACTATTTTTTAATAACATTCGCCTTATAAGAGTATATACTTAAACAACACTTTTCTTTGTGTTACAATAATTAGAACCCAAACTCTTGCCAAATATAAAAATTTATTGAAGAAGTTACTGACGAACTTTTATTATAATTCGGACGGCACAAAATAAAATTTCAATAAGAGTCAAATTCACATTTTTCTAGGTATGCTAACTAAAAGCTTATTAATGTCCTTAAAATGGTAAAGAAGTGTTAAATAAACATTGCATTCGGTTATGAGCTGATCACATCAGATTTTTGTGAGTTTTTTTTTAAAATATACATGTAGCAAACATAGGTCAATGAACATTAATATACGAATACAATTCATCTTGTGAGTTGTAATTGCTGAATTATGTAGAAAATACAGTACTGGACTGCATTTTTGAAGTCAAGAAATTTGTCGAAAATTTTATCGAACTAAAATATTTGTACGCCATATTGTTTTGTTTTAGTTTTTTATATTTGTATAATTAATTTTTTGTTTCATTAAATATTTATAACTGCTTTTTTGATTAATGCTATAAAAATATAAAAGATGTTTTTCATAAATAATTCAAATTTTTTTTTTTGTGTTTTAAAATTATAATTTTCATGGATTTTAGAAAAGATCAATGATTTATTCATTATTTAATTTTTTTATTTCCTTATTTATATTCTTTCAATTATAATTTTTTTAATAATAATTTCTTATATGAATAATGATTACAAATACCTATATATTGATTGTCTCATAATGTGAAAATTTCGTTAGAACAAAATATAAGCTTAATAAGATGAGAAAAAAAAATTTGAAATATATGTATATAAGCGTTTCCCGAAACAACATTATTTATTATTTTACTTTTTTTTTGATATTTATAATAAAAAAGCGGAATTAATCATACATGAATTACGGTTAATTGCGCATTAAATATATATGCGAAACCACTGAAAAGGGACTGTGTTTTTTTATACATGCTAATTTTGAAATTACCATGATACAGAACTAATATACAAATCAGCTTATGAGTAGTAATAGTGCAATTGTATAACAGAATATAGTGTTAATGTTTTTCTGAAGTAACAGATCCATACGTACTTAAATACAATTTATTAATACAATAAATGTTAAATTTATTGTCTTATTTAATCTTAAATTATATAATTATATAAATTTTTACCTAATTATATATATATATGTATATATATATATATATATATAGGTATTTATATATATGAATATATAAATATATATACATATATACACATTATTTATAATTAAAAATTATACTTAAAATCAAAATATGGAAGTAATTTAAAAAAACCAATATGACAAAAAATTCGAATGAGTTATCGCTCTCTTATAAAACTTTATTTTTTTTGTGTGTTCCACCATTAATCATAATTAAAATATTTTTCGGAATTGAGATATTTTTTTTATTTTAAATTTTTTCTACAAAATAATAATGATTATTTTTTTTATTTATTGTTTTTTTATTTATTTAAAAAATTTTTGAAAACATTGAAAAAACAAAACTGATTATTGATCAGGATCTAAAATTTTGTTTTCTTTCACATTACTATATTTGTATATATATTTTGTTGCTATACTTTGATTCAAAATTAAAAAAAACTCATTTTACACGATGAAAAAAAGGTCAATACAAACACAAAATAGAAATTTTATATTATGTGGGTAAAAATACAAAGAAAATATAAATATATAATAAATAGAAAACAATCAAGGTAAAAACAGAAAAGGTGAAAGTCCTTAGATATAAAAATATTAAAAGTATTTTGACCTAAAAATTCCAGTAATACTATTATAAATATATAATTAAGCAATTATAACTCTTAAACCAAATTGTGTACAGATATAGTATTTTCTGAAAATTTTAAATATACTTTCATTATATTTTTATAATTAATAAAAATATAATAATAATAGAGAGAAAATATATTCAGAGATAATTGTCATTATTTATAGGGGTTTATAAAATTAAAATTTTATTAAATATAACAATATTAACTTAATAATAGTAATTTAATATAATATAATTAATAATCATATAGTGCCAGTTGAAACCACTGAACATGAATTTATTTTAATCTTATGTGATTTACAAATATAATCTAAGTTCCTGAATTACCTATCATGTTTTTGTTCAATGTAGCAAAATGTTTCGCATAAGATGACATATAATCTCAGATAATTCAATAGTACAAACACAACATTAACAAATATTTTTTAGTTTAGTATGTATAATAAGAAATTTCTATGAAATGTATGAAATTTCAAATACTTAGTGGCGCATAGAAAAAAAATACTAAAACAAATTTTCGTAAAATTTTGAGTATTTAAAAAAAAAAATCGAAAAAAAAACCGAAAATTTGGGCTTTGACGCGCTTTATATGGTAAACTGTGGCACAGATCAAATTTATTGCAAACAAAATAAAATCAAAAATAAAAAGCTTGTAAAACAATATAATTTGCACTTTATAAATTTGCCTGAAATAATGAAGTAAATAATTTGCCACTTTATGTGAAACACCCTGTATACGTTAATAAAGAAATATAATTCAAAAATTAATTTGCTAAATTCATTAAATTACATATAAAGGGTAGTTAAAAATATTAATCAGTTATACTATACTTAACTACTATTAAACTGAATTGTGTGTTAAAATATGTTTATTAGTTTTGTTAAATAATTTTTAGCACTTTTCCAAAAAATTTTTGAAAAAAGTGAAAAAAATTTATTTTGATGTTCAATATTCTTAATTATTGTATAAGTTCACATATATGTGTAAGGTATTCAACACATTAATGACCTATCAAACTTTTTTGCTAAAATTAGTTATTATAGCCTTAATAAAACTTGTTAATTATAATAAATGGAATAAAGAATCACTACTTGAAAATACAAAAACGGAACTTTTTTTGCACTCCTTTTTCACTCTGTGAAATAATTACTAATATTATACATAAGTATTTTGGTTTTTTAAAATTTGCTAAAAATCTAAACACATATTTCGACCAAAATTTATTTGAACTGTTAGTTTTACGAGTAGAGGCCACAAATGCGCTAAGCGTCTCATGTGATAATTAAGATTGCAACATATTCTCTATTCTATATAATTATTTTTTTGTGTTATTTGATTCGTTGATTTTAATTTTAAGCTATTTTTACCGACCGTATTGTGTAAACAATAGGTAGGTTATGTGATGGCAACAAATTTTGCATATCGAGTTTTCGGTGGGAACGTACTTCTCCATAGTAGGGAAGTGTAAATAAACTATTTTTAGCAACCTGTCGGTCTGTCGGTCTGTGTGTGCACGCGTGTATCACAAGTTCGGCTGAACCGATTTAGATGAAATTTTATATGTAAGTTTGTTTCCACCATGGCACGGATCGATCAACTTTTGGTATATATCAGGCCTCGGGAACTGCACTTTTTAGCGGGCCTGTTTTACATTTTTGAACATTTTGAAGAAAGTATTCAACCGATTTACTTGAAATTTTATATATCAGCTCAGCTCGACCGTCCGCAAAAATTCGTATGTTTTGGAAGAAATCAGGCATCGGCAACTAGACGTTTACTGCGGGCCAAATATACATTTTTGTGTATATAAAGAGAAATAATCAACCGATTTCATTGAAATTTAATATATGAATTCCTCATATTAAAGCAATGAACATATAACTTTTTTGGAAAGATCAGGGCTCGAAAACTGATTTGCGGGCCGATTTTACATTTTTCACCATATCCACAGAACAAATTGATGGAATTTCTTGAAATTTGATATTTGAGTTCTGGTTGTTACCCAAACTAACTGGCGAGCATTTCAGGGAATTCGGGTAGCACAAAGCGAAACTCTACTAAGAGCCAAATTTACATTTTTCTAAGTATGTTAACTATACTTACTAATGTCCTAAAAATTGGAAAGAAGTATTTAACAGACATTTTTATAATATTCTGTAACACTTTCATTTAACTAGACAATACACAATGCGGTCGGTTATGTGCTGACCACATCAGATTTTTTTTTTTTTAATTTGTAAATTTCATCAGGTGCGTGTATGTGTAAAATGTAATAAAAGTTTTAAGCATTCACTTTAAATAAAGAAAAACTTTTTAATATAAATATCGGTTTTGGACTTTAACTTTAAGTTATTAAAATAATCATAAATTTACTGAAGAAAAGAGGAGAAGAAGGGTAATACTGAGTGCTATTGAGAAGAAAAGTAACAGAAAATTGAATATCTATATTATATTATTTATTATTATATTAAATGAAATCTTAAAAGTTAAATATTTTTTTTGTTCTCTCATTGTTTTTTTAAATGCGGGTGGAACTTTATATTATTAATGAATTTAAAAAAAAAAAAAACAATTTTATTTTGTTTTCTTCAAAACTGCGATAACATTAAGCGCACTTAAAAAAAATTCATCTTGCAAATACTACAATAAATATATGTACACACATAATGTACAAAATACATACGCACACATATATATAGACACATATGAGCGAATACTATACCTAACAGAAGTTGCTGTATATTTAAACTTTTCTTAATTTGATATGTTTATATGTATATGTATATACTGCGTAATTAATGTAAAAGAAATTTGTATATTTTTAATAATAAAAATCAATAAAATATAATCGTTAAATAGAAATTAGTTGAAATAATTAAATATTAACGGTACGACAAAGTATGGAAAAGTCACACAAAATATGAATGTTTTTTCTAAATTGAAAAAAAAATACCGAATTCTATTTAAAACTCTCTTCAGCTCAGTAACGGATAACATTGATAAAGATCACCTCATACAAAAATTATGTCCTCACATCTATTTATTAACATCTATTTTGTTAATATCTTAACATATTGTATATTCAAACTGGATGAATATAATATTGAGTGTATATAGAATATGGTATATGAGTATTATTTCCTAACACTAAACATATTTAATTTATAGAAGTTGTACTATATTTTAAAATAAGTTGATAGCTAATAAAATACAATGAAACATTAAATCAACAGATTCCTTTTTTAAAACATTTTAATATTTCAATTAAAATTTTTGATTTTACACAAATAAAATAAAGACAAAAAATTTTTGAATTTACTTTTTATATAAAAATGATCAATGAATCAAAAAAACAAAGAATGAATTGTCAAAATATTTTTCATTTGTTCAAATTCTCAATTGAATACAAAAATATTTTTTTAAAACTTTCATTAACACAAACCACATTGTGGAATGCCATACACAGTACAGTTGAACATATATAAAAGGCAGATTATTCAGCACAAACATTGAGTAATAATTTCTGAGTGATTACTCTATTTAGAGAATTGTAATTAGAAATTTGCTAATGTTTTCAAACTGTTACATTTGAAAAGATTGAAACGTTCTTAAAGAGCATTATTTTTATGTAGATTTTTTTTGTACAATAAATCAGAAAACAAAAAGAACAAAAGAAACTAAATTTTATCTCTTTAATATTGCAGTCATTTTAATATTATTGTAATATAAATTTGCATAGGATATTATTTAATAAACGCAATAATTATAATATGACCAAATTAAATAAAGTTGCATCAAAGCAATGGTTTATTAAGTAGCTCTTTTCCTTGAACAAAAGAAAATACAATCTAGCTATTAACATCCTAATTAAAAACAATCTAGCTTTTACGGTAGTTAAGTTAAACAATTTCATTTGTATACTGAGATATTTCGAATATTGCATACGTTTTTTTTTTTTTTTTTTTTTTTTTCCTTTGTTCACTCCTAGAAGGAGCATAGGGCTAGTGCATGATTTCTCATACAATAGTTTCATAGCGTCATAGAGTTTAACTAGGTAGGTGACTAGCCTGCCGTAGTTTTTTTATTTATATAAATTATTTGAGGTTATTTATATTTACTGTTTATTTTTCTTAGTTTTTTTTAATATCGAATATTACGAATATTTGAAAATTACTTGTATAATATTTATTAGTATTGTATATTAAGTTATAATAATATTGAATATAATTTTTATAGTGACCTGACCGGGGTTTGAACCCGAGACCCTTCGGTTAAAGGACCGGTGCCATAACCACTGCACCAATGGTCAGATTGCATATGTTTAGGATGAAGTAAAAAAAATAAAAGTGAATGAATCGTTAACACAATACTCGAATTTAAGGATTAATTGCGTAAGTTAAGAAAAATAATTATATTTTTCAATGCCATGGAATTTACCACTACCTTTTTACATTTACAGAAATTTGGAAAAGCTTGCAGTTTCGGAATTATAATGTGCCAAAAATGGAAATTTTCTAAATTTCAAGAGACGACCACTTCAAAATGGGTGAAGGTGGAAAAAAATTTTCTTCTAACGAAATAAACTATTTACTTATATCTAAAAGCTGCTAAAAATTCAGACTCCTGTAACATTTATAGGTTTTTGAGGGGCTATAACTTTTAGAGGGAGAGAGTTAGGTTTACATTTTCTTCTAGGGAAATACGTTTGTAATAATAATCTATGTACGTGTAAAAATGAACTACCAAATGAATAACGTCGAAAAATGGAAAATATTTTGAAAATTTTTCATTAAATTTAAAATTTTTTAATCAAATTCACAACATAATTATATAGAATAGTTGCCAAGCTAAAAAAGTTCCCTAATTTCAATGTGTGCGGTATAGTATTAATATACAATTCAGTTTACGACTTGTAACAGTGTATTATAAATTGAACTGTGTATTAGAACAGCTTAAAATTAGAATCTAATATGTTCTAGATAATAAAAAATAATATAACTTTGATTGTGTAGATATGTAGGTACGACAGGCTAGTTAATCGATTTAGAAAGAGTTTTATGAATCATTTGAAAACTGAACTATAAACTCTATTTAATAATCATATTACAATAAAAATGAAAAAAAAACAATTCTTTTTGGTGCAAGTAAAAATAATATATTTAAAGCAAAAAAAACACTTACCACGTTCTAATATTATATATTTTTTACTAGTCCTTGCGTAATAATCATCAAGCTCTTCTTTTGATTTAACATTATTATATTCCATTTCGGTAATTGGTTGAGGTAAATAATCAACAGCTGTAACATGTGGTGGATTTTTTAAACGTAATTTTTTTAATATTTGACGTTTAACAAAATCAATACGTAATTCAGTTAATTGTTCTTGACTAACATGTATTTTATTATTTTCCGAACTACTACTACATTTTGGGCATTTAATATAGTTATTATTATTATTATACATATTATTATTATTATTATTGTTATTGTTATTATTATGATCATAGTTATTTATTATTAATTTATCATTAATAATTTTTTGGTTATTTGAATTGTCATCATAATCAATATTTTCATTTAAATTTATATTATAATAACCATTGTTATTATTATTATCATTATTATTATAAAAATCATTATTATAATCACTTATGTCATAATTATTATCATTGTTATAATTACTATTAAATTCTATATTATACTGATGATTTTCATTTATTTCACGTTGATGTTCATTTTTATAATTGTGATTATAATGATTTTTGTTTTGTGTTATATTTTCGTCATTTTTATCGTTTTTACTATCATTATTATTATTATCGCTATTGCTGTTATCTACATTATAATTATTATGAATTTCATTATTTTTATCATTGAATTTTTCAAGAATTTCTTTAATACGATCTCTTTCCTCTTCTTGTTTAAATAAATTAATATGTCTTAATGAACGTTTTAAACTTAATTCATTATTATTATTATTATTATTATTATTATTATTATAATTATTATTTTCTAGATTACTATTTTTATTATTATAATTATTATTTTCTATATTATTATTATTATTATCATTATATTTTAAATTAATATTAAATTGATTATTATTATTATTCTGTATATTATCATTATTACTATAATTGCTATAATTATGATGATTATGATGTTGTTTAGAATGATGATGATGATAATATTTATGATTATGATATTTACTATGATAGGGATGATAGCGATGAGAATTATGAAAATTATGATAACTATAATGATGATGATAATTGCTATGATTTGACTGATGATGATTTTGATGATAATTATTATGATTATGATAATTATAAAGATTTTGATGATTATGACGGTTATGATGATGATGATGACGATGATAATGATGATGAGGATTTTTCCTATAATTTGTTACCGATTTACTCGGTATACTATTTTTTTTATAACTATAGTTAAAATTATTATGATCATTATTATAATTCTTAATATTTAATTCATCATATATATTTATATTTGTATCTTTATTATATAAAGTTTTTGAATTAAAATTCTTATTATTAGGAACATTTAATTGTATTGAATTTGATTTAACGATTATATTTTTGTTAATACTAGGTTCTTCTAAAATTATTATATAAATAAATAAAAATATTGAAATTATTTTATGTTTCATTTTGTTTTATTATTTTTTAATATTGGCACAATAAATTGTTATTGAAACACTTTAAGTTTGTGTTTTTAATTTTTTTTATTTGAAAATTATTGAGAAAAAATATTTTTTTATTTTTTACTAAGTATCAAATATATATAGTTAATAATTATTATACACTTATTTTAATTTAAAGGTTGAAGAGAAAGAAAAAAAAATTATTATAATTTAGATTTTTTTATTTCTGTTTTAATATATATAATTGAAAAAACACAACACACAGAACTAAAAATGTTTATACTATCTATTTGGAAACATCAAAATATTTTTTATTGGTGTTCTTAAAGTAAATAATGAATTCATTAAATATTTTAATAAAATTTAATAAACTAAAAATGAAATAAATTATAGTCTTTAGTTAATATATTTTGAATATTTTGTGTTTGGAAAAACATTTAATAGAAAATTTTTAATTGGTTATGTTAAATATAAAAAAAATGTTCTTTTTATTTTTTTCCACTTTCCAATTTCTTTTCAAAATAGTTGAAAATTATTTGTATTATATGAGATGTTTATTTTCACCTTGATTATTTATTCTATACGAATTAAAGTAGAAAAAAAAATAAATATTAATAAACTATAATTTAAACAAAAAGCTATTATGATTTTTATATAATTTTCCTTTTTTTTTGTAATTCTAATTGTTTCTAAATAAAATAAAGTTGGATCAAACCAATGGTTTGCATTGTAGCAATTTTCCCTTCAACGAATGAAAATTCTGCTTTTAAATACAGTCTATGTATTATATCCACCACACTATAAAAATTGTTTTCATTCATAAATGAAACTATTTCTAGGATTGCATATATTTAGGATGAACAATGTATGCAGTCTTTGAAATAAAGCGAAAATTTATATAAAGTGGGGTTAACATAATGCTCGATTTTAAGGGTTAATTGTATGAGATAAGAAAAATAATTATATTTTTTAATGTCATGGAATTTATCGTTAGCTTTTTGCGTTTATAGAAATTTTAAAAATCTTGCCGTTTCGGAAATATAAGGTGTCAAAAATTCAAATTTTACAAATTTCGAGAGGCGATAACTAGAGAGGGGGTGGAGATGGAAAAATATTTTCTTTTAACGAAATGAAGCATTTATTAGTGTCTAAAAACCTCTAAAATATGATGCTTCTACATGCTGGGTTCTAGAAGAAAAACGATATCAAAAATTTGGAAAAGACGGACTTTAGATAACGGTAAATTTGAACGGCCATTTTGTTTTTCTAAAGTTTAACTATAGTATACCGCGCTAGGGGAAGCAAGCCACTGTCTTTCAGTGTCTGCAAAATTTCAAAAATGTTTATGGTTTCACTGAACTAAATAGTTAAAAAATGGCATTTTTAGGGTTTTGGCTATAATTTCTAGAGGGGGGGAGATAGGTAAAAATTTTCTTCTACGGAAATAAGTTTCTAGTAAGGATCTATATACGTATTAAATTTCAGCTTTCTATCTTCAAGGGTGTAGGAGATTTGTAAACCAAAAAAGTGTCCACGGACGGACGGACGGATGGACGGACAGAGTGAAACTAATAAGCACTTTTTTTCAAAATTTTTTTGGAAAAGTGCTAATAAAGTAGAAAGAGAAATTTTTCCATCTTAGATTTTTGGCCTCTTCAAATTTGTAATAGGAATGAAATATGTAATGAAATCTTTTTTAGCCACCATTCAAAATGGACGCAGTAACACGGTATTAATACACAGTTAAGCAATATGAGTGTGAATTACTGAATTATGTATCTACTTAAATCTTGCTACTGTAAGACTATTTAAATGTTCAAGCTGTGTATATGTAACATATGTTATTTAAATGTGTTAGTATTTTGTTGAAATTACGAAATCACTTAAAAATTATGTATTATAAAATTTGATTTAACTTTCTAAGCTCATGTTAGTTAAATATGCATAAATGTATATATATATATATATATATATATATATATATACATATACAAATTGGTATATACATCTATATTTAATCCACTGATTAGTTCGGCCAATTATAAGTGCCACATATTATTGTTTTAACATTATTGTTTAGGTTCACCGCATTTTCCGATTAAAATGATTTTATAGATATTTTTTTCCGAAATTACGTTTCCGATTATTTTAAAGATTATTTTATACATATATACTTGAATGTATATATGTATATGAACGTATTTGACATTCAACATTTGAGATTTTGAAGAACGCTATGTACAGGGTTACCATGTTAGTTTTCAGAAAAAAAAGAATACAATTTGTTTCAGTGTAAAACAATAGAGTTCCGTTCCTATAACAGTTTTTTTTCTTAGTACATAAAATGCAAAAACCTAACGGAAAATGACAACTTCATTTTTGAAAACGAAAAAAAAATCTGATGTGATCAACACATAACCGACTCATAGTTAAATGAAAATGTTACAGAAAATTATAAAAATGCCTTTTAAACACTTCTTTTCAATTTGTAGGGCGTTAGTAAGCTTTTTGTTAACATACCTAGAAAAATGTAAATTTGGCTCTTAGTAGTTTCGCTTTGTGCCATCCGAATTCCCTGAAAAGCTGGCCAATTAGTTTCGGTAACAATTACTGCTCAGATATCAAGAAATTCTATCAATCCGTTCTGTAGATGTGGTAAAAAATGGGAAATCGGCCTCCAAATAGCTTTTCGAACCCTGATGTTTCAAAAAAATTTAAATGTTCATTGTTTTAACACTCCAAATTTAGATTTAAAATTCCAGGGAAATTGCTTGATTATTTCTCTTTATATGGGCAAAAATCTAAAATCGGCCCGCAAAAAAGTTCAGTTTCCAAGGCCTGATATGTTCCCAAAAGTTTATCAATCCGTGATACAGCCAAAGCAGACTCACATATAAAATTTCATTAAAATCGGTTCAGCCGAACTTGAGATGCACGCGTGCGCACACAGCCAGACATACCAACAAATCGGCAGACCGACAGACCGACAGATCGGCAGACCGACAGACCGACACTTCTTTAAAAATAGTTTATTTACGCTTATCTACTATGGGTAAGTGTGCTCCCACCGAAAACTTGATATGCACAATTTGTTGCCATCACATAACCTCCTTCATTCTATGTATTGCAGTCAGTAAATATGCGATCGAATATTTTATTCAAATATATTATATTGTATGAACATTTTGACATATAACTTTTTATGAACTTTCGAAGGCGAAATTATGCTTTAAAATTGACAAAATCGTGGATAATTTTTTATTTTTGTCAAAAAAAATTGGACTACAAAATTATAAGACCTCAAAAGAAGTACCTGCTTCTATTCTCTTAAAAGGATACGTATTACCATGTACACACAAATCTTAACACTATGAGCTGTCTATTTACATATATACACAACTCTTAATACCTGAAAACTTGTAAAAAAAAAAAATTAAACAAAATTTTAAACTTTACAAAATTACTTATAAATTTCTTTTATAAATAAATTTATAGTAACAGCATGTCATTCCACTGTCAAAGTTAAAATTAAAATAATTAATTATGTTACATGCCGAATAAATTATGCTATTTTAAGATTTCAAAACTGATAATTTTGTGGAATATTTTGTGTAGGGAGTCTGTTTTTTTATAAATGCACTTCTTTTCTCAAAAGGGTTAAATTAAATTAAAAGTTATAAATTTTTATGTTATAATTAGATAATAAAGTTAAGATATATAATGAATAATTTTTTTCGGAACTTGATTAGTTTACACGTGTTTAAACTTGATTAGTTTACCGACCGTATTGTGTATACAATAGATAGGTTATGTGATGGCAACAAATTTTGCATATCGAGTTTTTGGTG